CACAAGTGTCACCCCACAGTTCAGAGATCAGCCAATTGTGTTGTTTGTGACAATACCCACTGTGTTGGGAGCATCAATCCCAAACCAGAAGGTGCAGCTTCCTGGGTTTGGACTGTCAAAGTCTTCCTGGGGTCCCGTGGGCCCTCCTTGGCCAGGGCAGCGGGTGCTGTGCCAGCAGCTGGGACAGTCTGGGCTGGGGGGACAATCTTGGCACTGTTGGCTTTGTGGCAAACCTGCATCATCCTCCAGCCCACTCACTGCAGATGAAGGGCAGCTTGAGCCAATCTGTGCAGAGCAAAGTTATTTTTAGTGGGGGCTTCTTGCAAAGGAACAACGAAGGTGTCCTTTGGCCTGGAAGCTTGCAGGGTGTTCCCTCCAGTGGCTGTCCAAAAACACCTGCTTTGAAAATTGATTTTTTTTTTTAAATTTGTTATTGTGAAAGTTCAGGTGTGATTCAGAGCAGGGGCAGAGTTCAGCAGCTTTTGGGGTATCCAAGCAAAGGTGAAATGTGGAGCTTGTGGAAGGGGAACTACAGGAAATGCCATCGGGTGCCCCGTGTGCTGCAGCTGCAGCAGCTGAAGTGAGGGCATGTGGAAGTTCAGCCCAACTTCTCTAGGTCAGGAGCTCCCCTGGGAATCAGTCGGAGCTGGGGAGCAGCTGCTGTGGGGGAGGCAGAGCTGGGACATGAGCAGTGCTCTGGTGACTGAGGCTGATGCTCAGCTGGGTCATGGCAGTCGGGCGAGGTGGGTCCCCTGTCTCTGTGCTGAGGTGTGTGGGCACTGCACACTCAGCTGCTGCCCTCCAGCAGGAAACACAGACCTGGGGGGGGGAATTAAAAAAGGGTTTCTTGTATTTATTTGTTGCTCCTGTGCAGTCCCTGTCTGTGCTGGGACGAGCCCTGGTCCAGGCTCCAGATCCTGCTGTTCCCAGGAGGAAGGGTGGGCTGCTCCAGGGACATCCCTGCTGTGGGACTCGTGCTCCTGCCTGGCACAGGAGGGACGTTCACCCCATGGAACTCGCCTTGTGTTTTCCTTAGCGGGTCATTGCCTGTACCTTAAAGAGGACTCGTGTCCATAACTCCTGGTTTGGGCACAGCCCAGTGAGGGGGGAGCACAAGGATGCTCTTGGTGTCCAGGGTGTTAGTTTGGGAACTGCTGGAATGTGGGGTTTGGGCTTGGTTTAGCTCCTGCCTGGTCTCACTGTCATGGTGCAGGTGGCTGTACATGAGTGCCCAAACTAGGGCATTAAATTCCTTCTCTTGGGAGCTGCAGGCCCTGGCTCTGCCTCCAGGTCTCCCCCTGTGCAGTGGCTTTGGGCAGAAACAGGGAGTTCTGTCTGCACTGGGCAGTGACACAGGTGACATTGACCTGGTGCCCTGCTGTGGCACCTCCTGTGGAACTGCTGCCTGGGGGTGGTTCTGTATTGCCTTTAAGGAGATTGCTTCTAGGAATTGGGATGCAACGAAAGACTCCACTGTGCAAGAACAAAGCAAGGAGAAGCTTTTTGACCCTTTTTAAGTGCCAAACTACTAATCCTGCACACTGGTAATTCTGCTGATCTTTAGCTGCAGTTACTGCTGAGACCTTCCTGACTTGGGCTTGAAATCAGGAGAGTTTTCTGTCTCCCCTGGCTTTGTTTTGGACTCTGCTCCAGAAGTGAGGTCCTCATCACTGTGGTGACTGCTCTGCTTCAGGGAGTAAATATTTTCTAATTTTGCTCTTGGTTATTTCAGTAGTCTCCCACTTCAAGGCACTGTTTTCCTTGGAAGCTGGGGAAAGTCCAAGTGTCAGGGCTGTAACCTGGGGATGGCCTTTTCTTCAGGTTGCTGTCTGGATACACAAAGGGTGTATTTCTGGAGTACTGAGTGATAAGTGGGTTTATTTTTAAGGTTCTCCCTGAGGAAAGAGAGCTTGAGTATAGTTTGGAATTTTCTTTACTACCTATATCTGACCCTGGAATAAAATATTATACACCAGTGTTGTACAGGGGCAGGAAGAAACCTCATCTGTAAGCTCCAGCTTCTGTTAAGATTTGCTGTTGTAAAGCTTGTGGCTGTTTGCAGTGTGCAGTCCTTAAACCTGAGCACTAAGGAAAATCTGAGGGATGCTTCCCCATGGAGGAACACCCAGACCTCGGGAGTCTGGAGGAGGAGGGGACAGACAAGGAGCTTCCCAGTGAAGGAGCCTGGCTCAGGGTAGGCAGATGTTGGGAAATGCTGCCTCTGCCAAAGGGACATCTCTGCATGAGGGGTTGTGGTGCTTTGTGTGTTGGCCCAAGAGATCCAGGCCTGGTTCTTTTCAGGCCCCTTGTACAGTGTGAACAGGGCCCAGTCCCCATGGAGGGGGGACAGGGGGGACCAAAAGGCACTGCCTTAGTCTGATGAGATTTAGACTTGGGTTCACTGTCGCTGTCACCAGGTCGTGCAGTGACCCCTTCTGTCCTGCCCTGTAACACAGAACAACAGTGTCTGTTTTGGCCATCCAGGCCTTTCCATGGGGAGCTGTCCCTGGAGCACCTCAGCCCCCCTGGTCTGTGATCTCAGCCCTGCTGGAGCATCCAGAATTCCCTGTTGTCCTGAGAGTCAGGGACAGGAGCCTCTGGAATGATGGTCTGCAAGACCCATAGTTGTGGCTGCTTATGGGAAGCACTGGCCTGGTCTTGTTATCTCTGTCCTGCCCTTCCCACGGCAGGGTTGGGTTTGATGGTGATTTCAGTGCCAGCATTAGCTCAGAGCCTTTTTTACCAGATGGCATCAGCAGCTGTCAGAGGTGTCTGAGCCACACACACAGTTTGCTGAGGTAAAACACTGGTGTGATGATGTCTTCCTTGTTGTAGGGATGCTGCTATAGCTCCCTCTGGGACCATTCCTTTGCTTTCTGCCAAAGGAAATGCTGAGGGAACCAAGGAATGTGGGAAGGAAGCTGCTGAGATTGGTTACAGTGGGAGGGGTCTGGAAGCACCAGGTCTCCCTTGTTCAGGATCAGAGACACAGACCCTGGCAGTGCAGTTGGTGCTCTGGTCCTGCTGGCGAATTCCCAAACTCTCAGGTAACACTTTACCATCTCTGTGCCCATTGTTGTTGTGTTCAAATTACCAGGGCCCTTCCCTTGTGGTGTTGCCCAGCAGCTCTGACTGAAATGGCTCCTGCTGAGGCATCACTTAGGTTTTATCTCCCAGAGTAACTTACAGCTCCTGCACTGGCCTTGGCAAGGGAGAAAACAGCCTTTGGGCATTCGATGCCCTTCTCTCTTAGGATGGGCAGAGAGAGCATTGGAAAAGCCATTTTTCCTGAAGTAGAGTGTTCTGCCTCTCGTCCGGTGCCTCCCATTCAGAGATGAGCTGCTCCTGCCCTGAGCAGGGCTGAGATCCTGCCACCCTCTCTGTCCCACACGTCCTGGCTTAGGTGGGCACAGGCACCTGCTGACACACGTGGCCAGGCAGGGAACACCGACCAAACGGTGTGTTTGTGCTGTTCTTGTGCAGAGTGGGCCTTGGTTTGCACTGGCATCATATTCTCTACGGTAAATGCCTTTTTCCCTTGGTTCCTTAATCTGCAGTTCATGGGGAATTCGGAGGCATTTGTGTGATGTGGCAGCTGCTCTTGCTCTGCCTCAGCCTGTGTGCCCAGAATGTGCCAGTAACACCTGGGCAGTGTGTACCCACCCCCACTGGGGCTGTGTGTTCCTGTGATCCAAGGGTGGCATCTCAGGGGAAAATAGTGCAACAACGGAGGCTTCAGGAAAGACAGAGGGTGTTTTTGTAGAGCAACTGGTCAAATGTTCACATATCTGCACTGTCTTTATTTAGCAGTGTCATGTATCCAAGTGAAGAGTTTCCCAATAAATACCGGTTTTGATGCCTAATGAACGCCTGCTGTGTCTTTAATTGTGAGAGGTGCTGGAGAAGGGGATAACCTGTGTGTGTCCATGGCTCATGGAGCAGTGCCCTGAGGGCTGTGATGGGTGTGCAAACATGAATGACTGACCTGGGCAGAGCTTCCCCTGGGTGAGGAGGCTGCTCTGGCACAGCAGGGTGTGTGGGTTAGTGCCCCGCTGTCCGTGGGCACCAACCAGCTTCCTCACCCTCCTGTTCTTCCTGCAATTCCTACTGCTTAGTTTTCATGTGATTTTTTCCTGTCCTCTTGCTAACATGAGTCCAATGACACACTCCCAACCTGCCAGTAGTTCTGTGAAGGTAAGAGATCTTCTGTTCTGTCTGTGTGAGTCGTGAGGCAAAACCAACCCTGGAGAAGGGCAGGGCAGCCTCTCCCTGCACTGTCTTGTTATCAAATCCAGAAACAAGCCGGGTCATTGTAGTCATGATCCTTGATTTAAAGTCAGGGTACGGATGTTTAAAAATGGTTGCTCTGGCAGTAGTTTAAAATGCTGCTGCTGCAGTTACCAGGATTCACTAAAAGCTGTAGGCTGACCTTCAGTCTTTGAAAGGGCCATGTTATTTTAGCAGATTGAGGGGCATTCCTGTGTATTTTCCAAGCCCGAGTGTAATTCCATGTATCCATGGGCTGGCTCACAGGAACAGAGGCTGTGCCGAGCGGTGGCTGTGCTCAGAGGGCAGCCAGCAGGGCAGCAGGCAGTGACAGAACTTGTCTGTCTGCTGGAGCTTCGCTCTGGGCAGCAGTGTTGGGACGTGAACCCTCTGCCGTGGTGTCGTCGTCGCGGGTGGGAGGGAGAGGAGACCTGTGGGGTGGTGCTGAGAGTGCTGCGTGTGCCCCCTGCGTGTGTCAGACATCCTCCACCTCTGAGCAGTGGTGCCTGTGTGTCCCCAGGCTGGGTTAGTTGTGTGTCAGCTCGTGTGTCGTAAACACCTTCCCTGGCATTTTTAGTTCCATTGGTTTCCCTCCCTCTCCCGCCCATTTTCCATGCGTGGTGGTGGTTTCCATCTGAACAGTGTGATGTTCTTGTGTCATAAGTACCTCTCATGCTGACTGATGACCAAGAGCGTGGAGCTGGTTGAGTAACACTCTTCTCTTGTGTTTGTAGGTCTGCAGAGGGATCCAGGCGTGTTCCCAGCTGTAGCTCTTGAGCTCTGTAAAGGAGATTCTGGCAGTGACGGACTCGCTTTGTACAAGGGTCAGTCCAAGATGCTGGAGGTGAAAGTGCAGCACAGCTTGGAGTCGGAATATTTAGCCAGAGATGGTCCTTCAAGCAACAGCTCCTTCTACAGCAGTGAAGGAGAGGGGACAGACCATGAGGGAGATATTCTGGATTGCAGCGGGTCCAGGCCTTTACTGATGGATTCGGAAGAGGAAGAGGAGACATGCAAGCTCTGCCCAGGGTTCCTGCAGCCTGTGCCCAGGGAGAGGCACGAGGCCTCCAAGGGAGATCCCCACTCCCAGTCCAGAGCAGGGGAGATGCTGTTCCCAGCCTTCCAGTCGCACACCGGGGAGGCTTTTAACGAACCGGATGTTTTTGCCACGGCTCCTTTCCGAAGCTCCAGGAAAGTGCCGGATGAGGGGGATGTCTTTACCAAAGCTCCTTTTCTCTCCAAGGGCAATGCGGCTCTGCGACATCCAGAAGAAGCAGATGTGTTTCTGAGAGCCCCTTTCACTAAGAAGAAAAGCATGGAAGAGTTGACTTCCCATAAGGAGCCGTTCCCAGCACCTGTTTTCCTCAGCCAGGGGGGCGATGGCCGAGCTCTCCCGCTGTTCCCCAGCCTGGATTCGGCGGCGCACGGGGTCGCGGCCTCGGCGAGGTCTCAGTATCCTCCTGCCGGGTTCCCTCAGCCAGGCAGCCTCCATCCCTGCTCCGGGAGAGCTGTGGAGGCCCAGGAGAGCATCCCTGCTAAAGGAGGGCTGCCGGAGCAGGGGGACGTGGCTGGGGAGAGGAGCCAAGGCCCCGCGCTGCCCCCGGACGCCGCGCTGGGTGCCCAAGGGAACCAGCCTTTCCGTCCGCAATCCCTGTCCAAGTATTCCCGGCACTACAGCCCCGAGGACGGGCCAGGCCTCGAGGCCAAGCCCATAGCTGCTTACAAAGTGGTGTCTCAGACCAACAGGCAGGCCATAGCGGGCTCTGTCTCTGTGGTCCCGCTGTCCTCCAGGACTACGGAGCTGCCCGGCGCGGATCCCTTCTCCTCGGCGCCCTTCCCTTCCAAAGCGGGGAAGCAGAAGCCTTAACGTGCTGGGGGCTGGGGCTGTGCTTCCTGCGGGACACCTCGCACAGCACCTCGGACCTCTGGGTCGAAGTGAATGACACAGCAATATATATGTATAAAATAATTATTATTTTTGGTCGGAACTCTCTTCGCAGTGATAGGTAGTGGAACCGTTCTAAGTTATGTTAGTCCCAATGCCTGGCTCTCAGGATCCTCAGAGCCTTTCTCACCTTCCTCCTCTCACTGTCTTCCCCCCATTTATTTTTTTAGATGCTTTTCCAAACTAGTAGTATTCCATATTTTCTGGTCCTGGCTAGAGAAATGCATTATAAGATGAATTAAAAGGTTTATTAATTACAGAGCAAGTCAAGCAGGACTTGCTAATGCTCTGGAAAGGACATGATTTCACAGGTTAAAGGCTTATTGTGACTTCTTTGCTGTCAGTGCTATTCCTGCTGCTCAGCAGCGGTGTGGCCCTGGCAGCTGTGGCTCTGGGTGGGTGTTGGGGGTTGATGTGCCCACCCAGGCAGACCCTGCAGTGCTCTCTGGGGCTAGGCTGTGCAGGGTGGTGGGAGCAGAGCCGTGGCTCTGCTCTCCCTGGGGTGGGACATGTGGCAGGGGCCACGCCAGTCAGGGAAGGACTCACAGTGCCTTCAGTATTGGGAACTCCAGTGAGGCAATCAGGCTGTTCCTGCTGCTGGAAAATCGAATTATTGTGCAAACAATCAGGCAAAGCTTTCACTTTTACACATGTATTTCCTGTCTGGTCTATGCCAAAGTGTAGGACCCGGAAATCTGCTCTTGGTGAAGGAGAGATGTGTATTTACAGTATTAAAAATAGACCTTTGGGGGAAATTTATGATGCAAACAGCTCCATAGCTGTGCTGATGTACCTCACGTGGTGTGACTTGGCCCTGTTAGACGGGTTTGTACTGGCAGAGCTCGACTCAGAGTAAATTCTGCCTTTTGTTTTCCTGTTGATTAAGGATGAACTTAAACAAAATCCATTCACTCTCCTTCCGAAGTATTATGTTTTCTATCCCAGTCCCAAAGAGAAGGACAAGTACTTACTGTGTGAGCAGCCAGAGTGTTCAGAGGCAGAATGCCCCGGGCAGGCACTGGGCAGGCCCAGAGCAGACTGTGCTCCCTGCTCTGCTCACTAGTGGAGGACAGAGAGGAGAGTGGAACCTCCCATGTTTATTTTCCAAAATGCCTGGTTGCAGAAGTTGCCCTGGATCTGCTGTTTCTGGCCTGCAAAGGTGCTTGTGAGAGTGGACTGGCTCTCCAAGACCTGGTTATCAGGGCTCTGTGGGATCCCAGTCCAAGCTCCCAGTCCAAGCTGGAGCCTTGTGCTGAGGGTAAAGGACACACTTTGTGTTTAGGGGTCTCCCATGAGTGGGTTTGTGGTCTTTGGACGTTTGCAGGGGAATTGTTGGAGCCGTGGGTTGGTCTCTGAGGTCAGGACTGGCTGTGTGCAGAGCAGGTTCCTCCCTGTCCACTTGCTGATGTGTTTGTACTCAGAGAGCAAGTCCTGTGAGTAGTGTCCCTCGAGTAGTGGCCCTTGGAGAGAGGGAAGGATCAGCTGTAGCTCCTCCTGGCTCACTGGAGTCAAACCCTGGGGAGCTGCTGCAGCTGAAAATAGACTTTGGTGTAGTTTGGAGACGAAAAACCCTGAGACCACCTCCAGCACACGGCTCTGTCCGAGGTCCAAATAATAACTGTTATAGGAACACAGGGGGCACAGAAAAGATGTGTGCAAAGGCTGCAGAAAAGAGGACATTGCACAGTCTGGGGCAGACTCGCTGCTCACCTTTCATCCCAGCCACACAGCAGGAGGATGGAGGGATGGATGGACAGGTGGATGGAAGATCCCTGAGTGCTGGGAGGGGACTGCAAAGCATCTGCAAGTGGGAGTCACCGACTGCTCAGTGTTCCCTTTCCCCTCCCTGAATTTGAATCCCCTCCAAAATATCTCCAGTTGCAAGAGATGAGCCAGGTGTTCTGCTGGACGTGGGGTTTGCCTGGAAGGGAGAGGGAAATGCTTGGGCTGAGGTCTGGGAGCCCTGGGCTGGGGAGGGAGAATACTGGAAAGCAGGGAGGCCACGTTGGCTTGCACAAGTTCCTGGTGAACAGGTCAGCTGGAGCTTGTGGAGCTTGTGGAGCTGGGAACCTTCTGCCCTGCTCTGCTGCACTCACAGCTAATAAATATTGGTGCATAGTGGTGGTTTAGGGGCTTTCTGTCCTCCATCACCACCTCTTGAAAATAGAAGTACTGTAAAGAAGTTTCTGGGTTTCCCTTGAGATGTTTATTCAGCAAAGCTGAGGCTGTTTATTATGTTTTGTTGTTTAGTTTTCTGTTTAAATGTACACCCAAGAGGTGGTTGGTTTTGTTTTTTGTTTTAAATCTCTGTATCCCCAAGTTGGTTGTTGCTGGATGGGATCAGTGAGAGGCCCCGAGAGTGACTGTGACAGCAAACTGTGAATTAAAGGAGGGGGAGTGTGAGGGCCCAGATTTGTCCCAACACCAACCTGTGTCGAAGCCACACTGAGCCAGGAGGCTGCACTTGGCCTCGAGCTCTTAAATTCACTCAGAAGCTGCTGGAAGGGAGGCCAGGCCTTGGCAGTGTAGGATGAACCTGTGGAACAGGGAGATGCTTTGCTGGACCCCAGGTGGGTTCAGGGTGTTCCCTCTGCTCACTGCATTCAGGTTCTTCCTGCCCTTCATTTTTACTTGAAAAATTGCTTTTGGATAATTTTGTGAAGTTTCTGGCCTTGCCACGTCCAGGTGCCACGGAGCTGGGGCTGGAGGAGTATTAGCCTGTCCCCTCTGTGCTCAGACAAAGGGAAGGTGCACTGGGGTGTCTGGGCTCATTTCCAGCCCTGTTAGGTTGGGTCAGGCTGAGTTTCCAGCTGGCATTTTGGCAGCTTTTTTGTCCTTCAAGCACTTTACACAAATTGCAGGCTGACTGTGCCCCAGAGCTCACAATCCTGCCAGACACATCCAGTGCTTAAATGGTTTTAAATCTCTTCTGGGGGTGGAGGCAGCTCGTTTGTATCTCTGCATGTGGCTCATAAAGTAATGGGACTTTTGGTTATGGTCATAAGACTCAATTTCAGGGCCTGTTACTCTGATATCCTTCTCATTTCCAGCCTGTGTTCCTCCTAATCCTGCACTGCCACAGCTGCAGCCTCAGCGTGATGAGTTATAAGTGGAAATTTCATTTCTCTAGTCTCTGAAGCTTGCTGTTGTAATGTTAAAACAGGGAAGAATGATGCTAATTGTTTGCCACACAACCAGTGATCCTGATGAAGACTAGTACAGCCTCAATGCAGTGTTTTGAAATGAGTTTTCTGAAGAGGAGCACTGGTTTCATCTCTTTAGTAAAGCTGTAGTAAATTCTGTTCACTGCCCTGGGCCCTCGTGCACGGTTGGAGGGTTTCGCAGGGATCGCTTGGACAATCTGGGATTCCTGCTGGGAGAGGGAGTGGTTCTTGGTTCTCACCCCCTCAATGCACTTCAAGTCTCTTTTCAAAGTGATTAATCAGAGTTTCTGTGTGAATAGAGCAAGCAGTTGGCTTGGCTCTGTGCTCACTGCCATGACATTGGTACAGTGCCGTGGGGGGACCTGGACCTGTGCCCTGCCCGGCTCTGCAGGATTTTGGGGGCTTTCCCCGTGTCTCCTCTCCCTCCAGCCAGCTCAGCATCGTCACACCTGGTGTTAAGTTTACAGTTCAGCCTCCTGAAGCCAGCACACACCCAGCCTGGGGTGCACACTCTGCCTGGAGCACAGAAGTGATGCTGAGCTCCGACCCCTGTGAGCATCGTGACACATCCCGGAGCGCGTCCTCGGTGGGACAGCAGCAAACTGGGTGGGATCTGCTCAGCTGCTGAACTGTCAGTCACTCCAAAGTGGTAATCGGTTACTTTAACTCAGCTTCCACCAAAGACTCTTCTGTTGGGGAGTTGAATTTTTGTTGGTTTTTTGTTTGTTTGTTTGTTTTCCTCGTGGTGTTAAATCAAGGCCTTTAAGCACACCGACAGACTCCAAAGCATTTTTACAGTAGTGTCCTGACAGTGAAATCTCAGTCCAGTTGGGAAACACATTCCTGAAGTCTGATCACAGCTGCATTAGTGTTTCTAAAAATAAGCCACGGCCTGTAGTTTCCATTGTAGATGGGTAAATACCCTCACACACACCTAGAAATGCTCCCTGTGAAGCTGGAGGGATAATGTTGATCCAGTGTTCCTGATCCCTCCCAGGGATGGGGTGGGAGGGCAGGGGGCTCACTTGGGTGTAGGGTGCAGTGGGTAGAGCACCCTCACCCAGTCCAGGAGCGAGGGAAGCTCCCTTGTTCCCACGTGGAGTGGGAAGGGGAGCTGGGAGTGTCGGTGGGCCCCTGACTGTGACACACAACCTGACTCGTGTCCCACGGGCAGAGTTTCCCCTCTGTGTGGTCCCTGAGCGGCCGTGGAGCCACCTCAGCCTGGCACATCAGTGGGGCCAAGTTTTGCACTCCAGGTGGGATCATCTGTTTCTGGTAATCATGAAGAAATGTTTGACTTGTAAACTTCTGTACATTTTATTAAAACACTATCTGATGACACTACATTGTCTCCTCTGTGCATTCCTTATCCCCTCCCCTTGCAAAATATTTTTGCTGGATACAGAGAATCTGGGCTTTAATGAGTTTTTTCTACCAAGATGCTGAACAGGGTCTGGCCCTGCTGCTTTATCTGGCAGCCGTAAAGTCAAACTGATCTTGTTGCTTTAAGCAGTGGATATTCCAGTTTATATCCAATTTTTATATCGAGAGGGAGTCCTTCCCATCCAGGGCAGAGCTGCAGCTGCAAACAGCACAGAGCAACTGAGCTCTCCCTGCAGAGCTGCTGCTCCTCAGTGGGTTTAATGCTGGTGCATCTGGACATCCAGGGCTTGGGAGATGTCGAGTCTCTGAGTGCTGGTGATGTGTGGTTTTTCTAGATCATTCAGCTGCCAAGACTTAAAAGGGGCTTTGGTAGTGCTTTGCAGAGTGGACTTTGCTTAATTTAATTTCCATTGGGAAAGACTTTGTGCTGCCTTCTGCCCTGCTGCAGCTGCTGCTGGTAACACCCAGGTAACAGCAGAGCCTGGGAAGGCTGAAAGCGAAGCTTTTTCATTCTCAGAGCTGCCATATTTTCTTTTTTTAATTTTCTCCCCTCTTGAACATGCATCCATGGACGCACATTAATGGCATTCTCCATAAACGTTGTCTGTAATTCAGTGTTCCCCTGAAAAAGCCACATTTGAGGTCGATTTGTTGAAGGTTCGTTTTGGGTAGCCTGTAATGCTCAGGAAAGAAAATAAATACAAGTAGCTGTGAAATTTGCACCCCAGAGATTTAAAACCCTGCAAAGCCTGGAGCTGCTGCTGCAGAAGAGGGATCACAGTGAACCCATCCCAGAGAGCACCTGGGAGGGGAATGCTCCGTGGCCACATCCAAGCCAAGCTGTGCATGGGGGGAAGAATGACAGGATCCAGGAAAAGGTTTTGGCAAAGCTCAGGAAAACGTGTGTTCTGTGAGTGCAGCTCCTGCCAAGGTACAGCAGATCCAGTGAGGAATGACTGAAACAGGCTGAGGTTTTGTTCAGGGAACTTTGTGGGGGTTTGAGGCTGTTTCAGTTGTACGAGAAGCAGCAGCGATCATCGGACCGATGGAAGTGACTTTCTGGTCCAAAATGGGCAGGACTATAATCAGACCATGCAGCCATGGCCCAGACATGACCTGGGATCTCTTTAATTTGCTGACATTGTGGAGGTGTCTCCTTCCTCCCCAGGAAGACTCTTCTTTCTTCTTGCTCAAGGGCCCAGAGCATTGGCCCCTGCACCAAGAGCTTCCACTTCAAGTGCATTTGGATCAAAATAAAAGTGTTACCTCTTAACTCCCTCTGCAGCCACCCTGTCTGGAATGTTACTGGGGTAAATTTGCAATTTTTGATGGCTTGTGAGAACTGGGGGGGAGTGGAGGGAGGAAAGGCTTTTTGTGTGTTACCAGGCTCGGAGGTGAAATGGGGGCTGGGGGGGCTGTTTCTGAGCACTGTTGGTAACTGTGCTGCTCCTTCAGGGCTGGGACAAGGACGTGGGGCCTCATCCCCCTGGAACGTGCTGCAGGGCTGAGAAAAAAGTAAATATTAATGAAATAATTGTTACCCTTGGGGGTGGTTCTTTGGAGGTTTTTTTTTGGGGGGGGGGTTTCCATATTTTTATTTATTTGTCTATATTTCTGTATTTATATTTCTAGCAAACATGCTGACTGTGAACAGGACACAACTGTAGGCTGAACACGAGCCCAGGTGTGCCCAGGGGGGCAGGAGGCCAATGGCCCCTGGGCTGTCCCAGCCATGGGGTGTCACAGCCCCAGGGCAGTGCCCGTCCCTGTGCTGGCACTGCCGAGGCACCTCCAGGGCTGTGTCCAGGGCTGGGCCCTCAACAAGAGACACTGAGGGGCTGGAGGTGTCCAGGGAAGGGAGCGGAGCTGGGAAGGGGCTGGAGCAGCAGGAGCAGCTGAAGGAGCTGGGGGGGGCTCAGCCTGGAGAGAAGGAGGCTCAGGGGGGACATTAGCAAATTTGCAGATGACACCAAGTTGGGGGGTGTGTTGATCTGCTGGAGGGCAGGAGGGCTCTGCAGATGGACCTGGACAGGCTGGATCCATGGGCTGATTCCAACGGGATGAGGTTCAACCAGGCCAAGGGCCGGGTCCTGCCCTTTGGCCACAACAACCCCCGGCAGCCCCACGGGCTGGGACAGAGTGGCTGGAGAGCAGCCAGGCAGGAAGGGAGCTGGGAGTGGGGATGGACAGGAAGCTGAACATGAGCCAGGGGGGCCCAGGGGGGCAAGAGGCCAATGGAGCCTGGCCTGGCTCAGGAATAGTGTGGCAGCAGGAGCAGGGCAGGGATTGTGCCCCTGCCCTGGGCACTGGGGAGGCCACCCCTGGAGTGCTGTGCCCAGCTCTGGGCCCTCAGTTTGGGAAGGATGTTGAGGGGCTGGAGCAGGTGCAGAGAAGGGCAACGAGGCTGGGGAAGGAACTGGAGCACAAGTGCTGTGAGGAGCAGCTGAGGGAGCTGGGGGGGCTCAGCCTGGAGAGGAGGAGGCTCAGGGGAGACCTTCTCACTCTCTGCAGCTCCCTGCCAGGAGGGGGGGGCCGGGGGGGGGTCGGGCTCTGCTGCCAGGAACCAGTAGTAGGACAAGAGGGCACAGCCTGGAGCTGCCCCAGGGCAGGTTTAGGTTGGATATGAGGAAGAAAGTTTT